CTGTCTCTGTTCACCTGTCTGTCTGTTCACCTGTCTGTCTGTTCACCTGTCTGTCTCTGTTCACCTGTCTGTCTGTTCACCTGTCTGTCTCTGTTCACCTGTCTGTCTGTTCACCTGTCTGTCTCTGTTCACCTGTCTGTCTGTTCACCTGTCTGTCTCAGTTCACCTGTCTGTCTGTTCACCTGTCTGTCTGTTCACCTGGCTGTCTCTGTTCACCTGTCTGTCTGTTCACCTGTCTGTCTCTGTTCACCTGTCTGTCTCAGTTCACCTGTCTGTCTGTTCACCTGTCTATCTGTTCACCTGTCTGTCTGTTCACCTGTCTGTCTCTGTTCACTTGTCTGTTCACCTGTCTGTCTGTTCACCTGTCTGTCTGTTCACCTGTCTGTCTCTGTTCACTTGTCTGTTCACCTGTCTGTCTCAGTTCACCTGTCTGTCTGTTCACCTGTCTGTCTGTTCACCTGTCTGTCTGTTCACCTGTCTGTCTCTGTTCACTTGTCTGTTCACCTGTCTGTCTCAGTTCACCTGTCTGTCTGTTCACCTGTCTGTCTGTTCACCTGTCTGTCTGTTCACCTGTCTGTCTCTGTTCACCTGTCTGTCTCTGTTCACCTGTCTGTCTGTTCACCTGTCTGTCTGTTTACCTGTCTGCCTCTGTGCACCTGTCTGTCTCTGTTCACCTGTCTGTCTCTGTTCACCTGTCTGTCTGTTCACCTGTCTGTCTGTTCACCTGTCTGTCTGTTTACCTGTCTGCCTCTGTGCACCTGTCTGTCTCTGTTCACCTGTCTGTCTGTTCACATGTCTGTCTCTGTTCACCTGTCTGTCTCTGTTCACCTGTCTGTCTGTTCAACTGTCTGTCTCTGTTCACCTGTCTGTCTCTGTTCACCTGTCTGTCTGTTCAACTGTCTGTCTCTGTTCACCTGTCTGTCTCTGTTCACCTGTCTGTCTCTGTTCACCTGTCTGTCTGTTCACCTGTCTGTCTGTTCACCTGTCTGTCTGTTCACCTGTCTGTCTCTGTTCACCTGTCTGTCTCTGTTCACCTGTCTGTCTGTTCACCTGTCTTTCTCTGTTCACTTGTCTGTTCACCTGTCTGTCTCAGTTCACCTGTCTGTCTGTTCACCTGTCTGTCTGTTCACCTGTTTGTCTGTTCACCTGTCTGTCTCTGTTCATATGTCTGTCTCTGTTCACCTGTCTGTCTGTTCACCTGTCTGTTTCTGTTCACCTGTCTGTCTGTTCACCTGTCTGTCTGTTTACCTGTCTGCCTCTGTGCACCTGTCTGTCTCTGTTTACCTGTATGTCTCTGTTTACCTGTCTGTCTCTGTTCACCTGTCTGTCTGTTCACCTGTCTGTCTCTGTTTACCTGTCTGTTCACCTGTCTGTCTCTGTTTACCTGTCTGTCTCTGTTCACCTGTCTGTTCGCCTGTCTGTCTCTGTTTACCTGTCTGTTCACCTTTCTGTCTCTGTTCACCTGTCTGTCTGTTCACCTGTCTGTCTGTTCACCTGTCTGTC